ATTAGTGTACACAGTTGCAAAGTACCTGCCGTGGCAGAAATCCAGCTGTAAAAATTGGGAAAGAACAAGCACGTGCATGTGCGTGCGCACACACACACAAAGAGTACAATTAAAATGAAATTATCTCAACATCCAGTAATGAGGTCATTTTCCTATGAAGTTAAGTGGCTATCTTTTCAAGGAACACACAATAATATGGGCTCTACAAAACTTTAGCAGACTACCACAGACTGCTTTTTTATCTGCTGATACTCCAAAATTTTCTCAAGCCAAAATCCTGCTAAAATTTGGTCCTTTTTTTTTTTGACTAAAATGTAATCAATGTAGAAAGCCAATAGTCCCTATTTTACTTTTAAGTGCTGAAAAAGCTAGTTAAAATAAAAAAATATAAACACAGTTATAATTGTCCTACTATTATAATGAACTGAATGAAGATATTGCATCCATCTCCTGCTTCAACAGAAGAGCATCGATGAAAATATCCAAACTCTCCCCTTCCATAACATCGTCTATGGAGTGATAGGTGATCCCAGCCCTATGATCAGTCACACGCCCTTGAGGAAAGTTATAAGTGCGAATGCGCTCTGATCTATCCCCACTACCTATCTGCAAAATATACAAAAAAAAGAGGGAAAAAAATCTAAACTATCCATCTATCCATACCTGATTTATTTTTTAAAAAAACATTAGGGAGGAGATAGATTCTAAAGGTCCATGAAACTTCAGAGCGCACACTATTGATTCAAAAAAATAGAAAATAGAGGTAATATTGAAAAACATTATGTGGTAAAACCGGCTAACCACCATTGTCGTTATGACTGCCATAATGGCAATGTTATTTCTTGTAAGTGTTAAAACGGCTGTTATAACCATTTCTTTGTTTGGAACTTCACTGGGCATCCATGAAGAAGGGAAGTTTGCTTACCTGCTCTGATCGAAGCATTGAGCGGCTTGTTTGAATTCTAGTCCTCTCCATCTCATATAGTTTTGCGCATAGAACTTTCAGTGCTTTGGCCTTGTTCTGTGGAAGGCACCCAAGAAATCCAAAAAAGAAATTTAATTTCAAAAGAAGAACGTAAAAGGCTAGAAGATAAGGATATCATAACTAAACCCAAGGGTATCGTACATAACTAAACTCAGTGGCTCTAGAGTCCAGACCAAGTCAATAACTCTTGTTACTTTGAGCTAGAATTTGTAGAACACTTTGGGACTGGGAGCAATGAACACTGCTTTTCAATGTGTATTTCTAGATTATGGTGTAATCCACCTAAGGAAAGTAAACTACACATAAATACAATCTTCGTGGATTTGGTTTCAGTTGAACTGGAAGGGGAAAGTATCTCAAACTCTGATCCTTCTCTGAAGTGTCAAAAGAGCCCCTTTTCAACAGAAAATGAAGAAGTGCCCCCAATTTTCAAAATCATTACTAAATGAATGAATAATTGATCTTCACAAAGTAATGACCATTTGGAGGCTGTTCTTTCATTATGGATCAATAATTTGGATTAACCCCTGTGACATTGATGATGGATCCAATATTTTAATACCAAAACTCAGCAGCCACCATTTTTTGCAAAGCAGTAGCAAATCTAGTCTAACATTAAATGATCAGATGCTACTCATCCTCAAACTTGCTTTTAGCATATTTTAACCAACTCACAAGGAATGGGAGCACACAAAATGGTAATGTAAATGGAAGCAAGTAACATATTTGTGGAAGAATAGTCCGATCATCACTGGAAATGAGTCCAAAATGAAAGATCCAAGGAGATATCATGAGGAAAAAGGGGTACCAAGACAAAAAGAAGGAGACCTAATTAACATGAAATAACACACGTCTTGACTCAACCTAGATTCTAATGCCAGAAACTGTTTGGTACTATTTCACAAAAGCAAATGCTTGGAAATTGCACAAGATGGATGATTATCGTTCTTACCATATGTTGTGATCGTTCATCTTGAATTGACACCATTATTCCCGTAGGAATGTGAGTTACACGAACAGCACTATTAGTCGTATTTGCATGCTGACCCCCTGATCCACCAGATCTGTAAGTATCAATTCTCAAATCCTCATTACACAGCTGTACATCCACCTGCATATGCATGTGGAGAGAGAGAGAGAGAGAGAGAGAGAGAGAGAGAGATAAGGGTGAATGCTGTATAAGACCTCAACAAGAACACCAACTAGTTTCCAGATAGAAACATAAACACAAACAGTGTAAACCTCAACACACAACAAATGCGGAAGTGGCAATTTCGCATTGATAGACCATGGAGCAAATGTTGAACAGCAAAAGAACATAATATAATACATTAGTGTAAAAGATCTAGAATTTTGGATTTTGGGACTTCTTTATCCAAGATGAAATGAGTTGTTCACCAACAAACAACCTATTACATTACTAAGGACCTTCAAAAAAGACAGATATATAGCACCTCATCAGCCTGAGGGAGGATAGCAACAGAGACAGCACTGGTATGCACCCTTCCAGATTTTTCGGTTACTGGAACCCGCTGCCAATTAGGAGAATATAAATGAAACAATAATAAAAAGGTCAGATCAATGAAAACTGGGAACATAGAAAGTCAAACTTGAACATCAATAAAAGGCTAGTGATGAGGATACCTGCACTCTATGGATGCCACTCTCAAATTTAAGTTTTCCATATGCTCCAGGTCCTGAAATTGCTCCACTAGCTTCCTGTAAAATAGAAATATGTAACAGGTTTTTCTAAAAATCAAATACAAGGGGTTACTTAAAATTTCTTGCTTACAACAAATATTGGTAATATCCATTCTCACTACGAATTCCAAATGTGAGATCGACGTCAAACCTTGTAGCCTTTAAGATCAGATTCCATTACATCTACGACTTCAAATCTCCAACCCCTCTTTTGTGAGTATCTCTCATACCTGACTCCGATTTATCATTAAAAACACAGACTACATCAAAATAACCAACTCTCCATTTCAGTAGGTGACACCCCTACATACAAAGCTGAGGATACTTAGATAAAGTAATGTACATTTTGAAGAGATCCATGGCAAATAATGATGCTTCTTCACCTCCAGTCCCTACAAAAATTCAAAGGGTATGGACAACGGTAAGCTTCACAAAACTATTAAAGGGACTTCTGCTTATAAATAAAATATCGAAAAGAAGAGTAGCAGTTGAATAATTGATGCAAGTTGAAATATGCAGTGAATCTCATAATAACATTACCTGCTCTCACCTCCAATATACAATCCCTTTCATCAGCACCATCCTTCGGTAGCAAGGATTTGAGCAGGAGATGTTGCAACCTCTTTTCCTCTTCCACTGCTTCATTTAACTCCTCTACTACCATTTCACGCATATCTTTATCATCAGGGCATTCATCCATTAATGATTTCAAACTATGAATTTCCTACGGAGATGAACTTATCCACTTAGAAAGCTTCCATAACCAGAATTCACAAAGAAATAAAAGAGTAGAAAACATCAAACAACCATAAAAGATGCAATTCTTGTGATTGTTTGGAATCTAGAGTGGACATGGGAAACTGAATTCACCAAAACCTTGATCTACTTTTGATGCAAATTCTTTGAATCTCAATTTCCGCAGGATCCACTATTAGAAAAAGCTATCTATGGACGCCCATTTCTACAGAATCAAAGGAAGCCCCAAAAAGTATGTTAAGAGGATTTTTAGGATCCCAAAATTTGCAAACAGATCTTGATTCACCGTGTGATCTACTCCAGAAAAATAAAAACTGATTAAAGGGCTCTTAAATTATCGATCTGATGGGTGTTTGATGGGTGCACAAATAGATGGTCAAGAGTCGTAGCCAGTGTAAGAACCACCATTCAACTAATAAATCTGCTATGACAGTAGAAAACAATTGCCCCGTCCATAGAAGTTTCCCATTTACTATTCAACACTGTTCTAGGTTTCACAACCTCAGAACATGCTGATTCCTCTAGCCAGTCACAAAGCCACAAAGTCATCTAAACCAACAATACAACCTTGAATAAATCCACTGTCTAAACATTGCACTATATGTTTTTGCTATCTATGTCATAGCAAATAATGGCACAGCTATTTTAGTTTAACTCAACAACACTGTGATACTTCAAGGAAACAAACTAAGCTGCAGCAGATGAAACGAAACCATGATTAAACTGAGTATACATAACACGATGCTACAACAAGCCATTATTAATCATTGTGGTGCATCAAAATTTTCCAGTATCGATTCAATGTGCTTATGATTACTTTTCCTTGCATACACAGATGTTTATTTCAGAATAATGACTCATAGGAACAAATCAAGAATCACTAACTAAGGCTAACAAATATAAATTATTACCTTCTGCTTTGCCCTTAATTCATTTATAAGGTCCATACAACCCCCAAGTTTCTTAAGCTCCTTGTTGGCACTTGAAAACTCTCCTGCTGAGACCTCTGGCTGTCTTTAAGTAAGCATCCAAATTTAACAGAAAGGAAAACAGGGAGGCATCACATATAAAGATCTCAAAAAAGGAAAATGCATAAAACCCAATCCGAGTAAAAGTTTAAAAGAAAATGAAATGCTGAAGAACTATGAAGATCCCATTTGAAACATGAATCCCCAAATTAACATCACTACAAGTTATACTGAAAGCATCACAACAATGGAAATATGCTTCAGTAAACTACTGTTTGATGGCATAGGAAAAGACTGCTTGTTTGGATATTGAGGGATTTTATTTCCCCCTACTTCAGCCACTTGGCTCTGTAGTTTCCCTTTTAGCTTTGGTAAAATCTGTGGTTTATACATGACCAATGAGTTTCAAAATTGCAAACGTGACAATTATTAACAAATTTGAAATTATTTCAACCACATTTAGCTAAGAATCTCCTTCCTAGAATTTCAGATCAAAGATGTACTATGAAGCAACTAAATGAGACACCTTCACAAGAACTAAGATGCACAAGGCAAGATCAGCTATGCTCAATACCTTTATCTTACCAATTGCTCTGAACCAAGTGCATATTTTCCTGATTATTTACTTTTGGTATAAGCAGGTCACAATTAGTCTTGTTCATTAGTTTCAGATTGGTTGTGTGTCACTGACTAGGTTCAAAATTCAAAGCAAATTTTCTTGAACTTCATGACACACTCCAAGTGGTCCAATTTGAAATCAGAGGGCTAGGAGTATTAATGACCTCCTTGTAACAAAGGTAAACGGTCTCATACTATATCTATATTTATATGCATATATATACACACACACACACACACACACATATATATATATATATGTGAAAAATTCATCCCAACGCCTATAGGGGAAAATGAACAGTGATTTTGCCTACCCTCATCACCATCCAAAGTTCATCGCACGATCACGACTGTCCGATAGTGTTTCAATTTTTTTTCTACAAATCGGAATGATCTGAAATTTGAAGCGTGTGTACATCTTAGTGAGGCGCACCTAATAAAAATATAAAAAAAATAATTTCCAAAAAAAATTGACTAAAATACCCCCGAAACATTTTGGGGGTATTTTGGTCAATTGTTTTCATTTAAAATATTTTTTTGATATTTTTAGTAGATTTGCCTATTTTTAATGAACACACGCTCCAAATTTCAGGTCATTATGATTTGTATTAAAAAAATGAAAAATGAAACACTGCTGAACAATCGTGACCATGTGATGAACTTTGGACAGTGATGAGGGTAGGCGAAATCACTGTTCATTTTCACCTATAGGCGTTTTGTAGTATCTTCCTATATATATATGGGCAGTGCTTTCATGC